TTTCTCCAAGATACTTATACACATGATAAAGGAGGTCATATATGTCCCAAAATTATCAATAACTCATTTCGACCAAAAACTAAGTTATGGTGTTTTGTCTTTGCACGGCAGCACTGCTGTCACCATAGACGGGCGTGGTTTCAGCAACTAGCGTCTCAGCTTCACCCACGTCCTGCCTTTTTGCCCATTTTTGATTATCCGGGAGTGACGCGCTGCCAAGATGGAGGCGGTCGGCTCCGCCCACTTTAGGCTTCAAAAATGCTCTTCTGGGGCCTCATTTATAAAATGTTGTGTATAAACCATCCTAAATTTGTTCTAAGATCATTTCTCAAAAGTGTGTAAGCGATTCAGAGAAAACGAACGTGCGCACAAAAACACGTCCGTACGCCTCTCTTCCAGATGTCATATTTATAAATCGCAAATGATCTTGAGATTGTGCGCAGCTGACTGGTGTCTGTTCACAAAATAAAAACTAAAACTAACAAAAATATTAATGAAACTAATAAAAACTAAACTGAATTCTATAGCAAATTTGAAAACGATATTAAAATAAAACAAATTTAAAAATGAAAAACTATAATAACCTTGATTTACACAACAGCTGGTGGCATTTTGCCCCATTTTCTGAGGCCCTAAACTGAGATTTAGTAAATACAGTAAATTTAAATAAAAACAATCAAAATAAAGCACTTACTAAAATTCTAAATGATAAAATAATACATTAAAATAAAGCGCATACAAAAAAAAAAAGTTAATATTTATTATTTTGCCATGCCATCTTAGTAGTAAATCAAGACTTTACAAGTTCTCTTGTAAAAAAAACAAAAAAAAACATGGAATAACCCGTGTACAGAAAGCGAGTAAAGAACCCTCAACATTAGGCTACTAAAAAGGTCAGTTTAATCTCGCAAAAACTCCTGTTAATAACTCGAAGATCAAATCTGTGCATACGCACATTTTATAAATGAGGCCCCTGAACCCTACGAGTGACGTCACGGACACTACGTCCATGTTTTTTTACAGTCTATGGGAGAAACACACCACAGACCTTGATGCATTTTTCACAATATACCTTTATTATCTTAATAAATACAAAAAAAAAAAAACAACAACACTGTGATGTTTAAAGAAACAAGTATTAAAAAAGACACTAAAATGCATTAGATATTAGAAATATCAATATTAATTTTGGTATGTTCTGTAAGTGACATCTTTGTCTTATGGACATTTAGTGTACCGGCATGTTTTCAGATGGAAGAGAACAGAATGGAAATCCACTGTCGACAGGGCCAAAAAAGGAAGAGAGAGCATAGCAATCCATCAGGTACAAGGGGTGGAGAAATGATTCAATAGCGAACATGGAATGAACTCTCTTACGTGAGGATGCATATGAATATATACATTTATATACACCCACATCAACACCACCAATATAGATGTAAAATCACCTGAGATACTCGTTCGCACCTCATTATTCCAAACAGCTGGACACTACTAGCATTGAAATGATGTGAATTCCGAGAGAAAGACATGGGACGTCGGCCCGGTTTGGGAGAGCTCTCCTCAGTAACGTACAAAAACGAAGACGGAAATAACGAAAGAAAACAGTCGGACACTACTAGCATTGAAATGATGTGAATTCCGAGAGAAAGACACGGGACGTCGGCCCGGTTTGGGAGAGCTCTCCTCAGTAACGTTGTACAAAAACGAAGACGGAAATAACGAAAGAAAACAGTAATTTCACCAGTAACTCCTGAAGTTTCCACAGTAAAAATATCCTTTTTGAGCAGCCTTTTGTAAATTTTGTTTTTATAATATATTTATATATGTAAAATTTCATCAAGCAAAAAGAACCAACTGGACTGTTCGATAAACGTATTGTAATGTAGTGGCCAAAGACAGTGGAAATGTTTTCTGGAGGTCTGACTGACGTTTTACAGCACACACCGAGGACGTGGAAAAATCATTCGACCACTATGCCTTAGCGATCATGCGAGAGATATTGCCGTATTTTTGCAAAGTCAAATGCATAATGTTATTGGCTTTAGCTCGATAGTCATTTTGAGACTTCCGCATGTGATTACAGGACGAATATCTGAATCAAGATACCAATGAATGTGGATTTATGAATCCTAGTGATTCAGTGCCCTGCATAGGTAAAGTAGAACTTGAAAACAAGGCTTTGGGACATTGTCAGAAATATAAAAACAAGATACATTAAGTGCTCAACGAAAACTTTAAATTAAGTTACCTGAATTGATTCTCCACTCGTGATTTAAGACATGCGCAGAATCTCAAGACAAGCACGGGAACTGATATCTACAAGACCTCTAGAGTAAGGCAGAAGCCTTATGGGAAGGCAGGGGCATTGTAGTCTTGTTCATATGGCTTTTAAATGACTCACTTTTCAAGTGCTTGTAATCAAATTTTGAGCCAAGATCAAAAAATTCAAAAGCCCAAAGTGAACTATTCACCTCCAAACGTTAGCCAAGCTGGTGTCTATTAATTTTGCTATGCTCAGATGGATCAAATTAAATGCTAAATGCAAAACAAAAGCAAGCGGCAAAAAGTGAGCAGGGGAAGAGGCAAAGTTGGTACCTGTAGTCCAATGTAGTTAAAATATCTGGCCTAAATATGTTCCAGTTGGACCAAGTGGACTAGACTGAGTAATATTACCTAGTAGGGACAGCTGGATGTGTTGAAAATAGAACCACTTAGGATAAATTTCCCTGCAAACCGTTTCCCAACCCATCTGTGACTATTTCCAGCACGGAGAGGATCTGGTTCCTCTCGCAGAAACCCCACTGCTGAAAGTTCGTAACTCATTTCATCAGAACTGTAAGTCTTACCGCCGGCATAGATGCAGGCATATCTTAATATATCTCTGTACATGGTTATATATTTTCTTATCTCTAGTTACAGTACAGAAACTCCCCTTCACATTTCCTTTCCTCCAATTCTTCATGTCAGCAGGAGCTATGGTTTTGTGCTTATCACCAAAATTGCAGTGCAAAAGAAAATAATTAATTATAATAATGACAACAATTAATTCATGAAAAATATTAACAAATGATGGATGACAACATAATTTCTATGGCACCACAGCCCATCAATTCACATATCGTACAAACGACCAACAGCGTAAGAGGGAGGAGAGCGCAGAAACAGAACTCGGGTTGCATAGCAATGCAATAACAATAATGTCAATTTCCATCTCCGATGTCAAGAATATATTTACAGGAAACTTGATTTCCTTTTCACAAGTTCACCAAAGCTGGGCGACTCAGATCTCAGGCCTTCCATTGTTTTTTTTATTTTGTCCTCAACATTTTTCTTTTTTCTGTGAATGAATAGTTTAAGGAGGAAGGTGAGGGATGTTGCGGATCTTGTGGGTTGCATGTCCATCTTTACATCACATTTACAGTTTGTCCTTTTCATATTTTTTTCTTTTTTTCCCTTCTTCCTTCCAACACTTCACGAGTTCATTGCACCAAGCAGGTGAGGCATTTCCAGAACAGATAAAGGCATTCTTCAGTTTCCATCAAAAAGGCTCACTCTGTAAACAATAGAAAGAGAACATGCCAGTCAGTTCGCTTTTTATACAGCTCTAGAAAAGGTAAACCAGCAATACGACCAGAAAACATCAAAGTTCCAAACTTAGAGTTGTACCAGAATAACCTGTTCAGACTCACATAACTCTCCAGAGTACTGCGTGTTGGTCCCCATGTAGCTGCTTTCGCCCTGCTCTGTGGTGGAGCGCTGGTGCTGTCCCCTCGTCCCTTCACCTTTACGAGAACCCGTTGACCCTTTAGAAGAGGCCGTCCCAGATGAGCTGTGGCCCCCAGGAGATGGGAATGATGGTTTGTTGTATGGCAATATGGCCTCTTCTGAAATCATACAAATATCCAAACCATACATTTAGTGGCAATTAAAATTGTTTTAGCTTTTCCAGTTTGGAACATGTTCATGATTGGTTTCTTTCTGACTAATACCGAGGTGACCAACTCTTCGCAGCTTTGACCAAACCCTACTCATTAGCAATATGCTCCAATGGCTAAACGAATCTCCACACCGAAGTTTAATATGAAAATGAAGACATATGAGACCAAACCATACAGGTTGCCCAACCCACATCCCCCTTTGTGTCGAGCCAGATCCAGGCCTGGTTCTTTATGCTTTGTTTGGGCTGGAAACCCAAAATGGTGGATCCTAATGATCAGACAGGCACAGATGGAGCTTGGCTTCATTGCAGCGTGTGTGTGTATACAGTGAAAAATGAGGGCTGGAACGATTAGGGTACATCTGTGCAGCTAAGTGTGCCTCCTGTCTGCTGGTTCCTGGAGAAGGCCGGTGTTGGCCATGGAAGAGCTCACTAAGAGGGGGAGACAAGGCAATCTGTTTGCTCCAGCTTGGCTTCCTTACAGCAGGGACCATAAACGAACGCCAAGGGTCCACAGCTGGTGCTGTCAAACATCTGCCTCTGATGACCACGATAGCAAGATAATATTTTACAGACCTGCTCTGCTGAATTAAGAGCGTTTAATGTGCCAGATTGATTCAACTCATGTGGACATGTAAGATCAGGTTCAGGTCTTTCATAAAAACATATTTCATATTTTGTGTCATTTAAAAGGAAGTCAAAACCCCAAGAGGCAATTTCTGCTGAAGACTTGGGTCAGGTTGATTAGAGATAGTTTGGCGCTGGTCTACTTTGGAAGCTGATTGACCAAAATGTCTTTGAAACACAATAGTTTTTTGCTGGTCTAGTTGGTGAACCATTAAAATTTTGGAAGCTGGTTGACCAAAATGTCTTTCTGGACAAGCTGGTTGACTAAGGAAGTCTTGGTGCTGAAGGCCAAGTCTAAAATTAAGCTGTTTAACACTAATTTGGTGTTGGCCTAACTCAGTGGTGTCCAGTCCTGCACCTTGAGGGCCACCTTCCAGACTTTAGTTTCAACATACCTGACAAGAAGTTTCTATCCCTTTTGATTGGTTTAGATGTATTATTTAGGGTTGGAGCTGAACACTGCAGGACCTTGGCCCTCCAGGAGCAGGACAGGACACCTGTGGCCTAGCTGATGAACAGCCTGGCTATGCTGGTTTGGATTCTTGGAAGCTGGTTGATAAAGAACTCCTTGGTGTACAAGTTACTACCTAACTAGTATCACCTGTTTGGAACCAATATTCAAAATCTAACACTGATTCTAGTGTGGTTTCTCCTTTATGTCTCATTTTAAGACTTCAATGTGTCAACAGAGTTTAAGGTAAACCGTCCATCATCCTACCTGAAACAGGACCATTTATCTGTCCTCTTCTGCTCTCTTCTCCTCTATCTATGGATCCCAGTCTATCCTGGGCTTGTTGGTGGCGCTCCAGTGAGGTTCGGACCTGCCGGTCCAAGGAACTCTTCATCTCCTCTAGGCCCATCATGGGTTGCCTCTCCAAGGAGCAAGCCTTGCGGTCAGAGGGGTTGGGCACATTCCTCGCCCCCTGGACACGAGCTGTCTGGCAGGGTGGAGGCTCTGGTGGTGGAGGCAGATCTGGGAAAGAAGCAGGAAGGACCATTTGAATTCAAACAATAGGTATGGCATTTCCAATTATGTACATTGTACATTTATCATCATTTGACAGTAGGTGTCTTTTGTGTCTACATAAATGCCCTCAAAAGGGTAATATTGATTTCATTCTGTTTGATAAATTATTATAATGGCTTGGATATTAGCTATTGCTACATGCATTTGCTTATGACCCCCATCTGTCTCCTTTAACCAATGCTGACTTTCACATTAATTCATTAAAACATGCAAGAGAGATCTGCTATCTACTGTAAACCGGTTTTTGGCCTTCAAAAGTGGTCTAAACCAAATTAATGAATCTGTGTGTCATTGCATACATAATTCATTAACTGAAATATACAGTATTTTTGGTTTTGTCTTCATGGATTAAATTGATCTAAACTAAACCAGGTTTTGGAATGATCTGTTAAGTAAAAACTGGACTAAACCTTACCATCAGCGCTGGCATCATGGCGGTGCGGGGCAGTGCCAGGGCCTTTGTGTTTGCGGGTGGGCCTTGCTGCCCGCTGGTGACCCAGGCTGTGTGTGCCCACCATGCTTCCATCTGTGGAGAATGGGCTAGCGGGACGAGGTCTATGAGGTAGACCTTTATCTGCAGGGAGCAAAGAGAGAACTTTGGTTAGCTCAGTGTTATCGAAACGCTACTTACAGAGATGATAAACGAATCTTGAAAGGGAAGCATGGCAGGATGCTCAGGAGGAGGGCGGATAGCTTGTTAGTTTGATTCAGAAGCAGCAGAATCAATCAATACATTTAATTTCTATTGCAAAGCCTGTTGGAGAAAAGGTTTAAGATTGTAGAAATGGTTTCATTGAAGATCAATATGGAGTCAGAAAGAGGCATGAAGTCAAACCTGAAGTGCATAATAAAAGAATCTGAAGACATCAGCGCCAGATCTGTTTCCAGTTAATTATTTCCCTTGCAGTGTAAACCGAATCGCTTCACTGAAAGCGCAAGACCAAAACCCTGCTAAGTGAAAACAGCCGTCGGCAACACCAAGCAAATCCATAAAGATGTTAGTATTTGCACTGCACTGCTTCACCAAGAGTACACCAACGTAAAATCAGAAAGCAGAAAAGAAGCATCATTCTGTTAAGAGTGAGCCAAATTGCAGTTAGCAAACACCAGACTTCCAGACTCGAATTCCTGTTTCCCCCAAACCGACCTCTCTTGCTCAAACTTGTGCCGTCCAGACGGTAACCAGCCTTGTCTGCGGCCGCCACCAGGGCTCGTGCAAAGCTGCACTGGGTGAAGAGTGAGCCGTCAGAGGAGCTGCCGGCACTAGACCTTCTGCTGGAGAAGTTTCTGTCATCATCTTCTGAAGCCGAGCCCCAACCGTTCACCATAGAGCCTGGAGGGGAGCGGCCGCATGGGTGTTAGATTGACCAGGTTTGCTAGTTTTAAATTCCAGAAAAACGGGACGTACTCTGAGATTTTACTTTATTAATATGCAAATGCTAATAAATTATTAATGCCTTTATAAAGGCAAATGGCAATCTAAATTTATCAGAGTAATATAATGGGGCTTTGGTGTGTGCTGGAAATTATTATTCTCTTATCTAAATAAAGATGTGTTTTATAGCACAGGTGAGTTATGTTTGATAAGAGATGAGTCAGTCACCTTCATAATTATTAGGTATTGCCATTGTTATGAAACTAATAAACAAGACAAAATGACTGAGGAGGGTAGATTATGGAAAACATTAACAGCCAAAACAAAACAAAGAAGCAAAACACCAAAGCACACAAAAACAGAGAAAAAAGATAAAACAAAAGAAAACAAACAAACAACAACAACAAAATCACATTAAACAAAAAAATACAAAGCAAAACAAACTGACTGAGGAGGGTAGAATGGAAAACATAGAACAGCCAAAATAAAAAAACAAACAAAAAAAAAAAACAATACAAAACATGAGACAAAATGAAAAAAGAAAAACAAGAAAAAACAAAACACAAAGACAAAACAAACAGAATAAAGGCTTGAGTCAATGAATCACTGTTACATTACAGTCATAATTTATTAACTAAAACATTTATTAATTTTTGGTTCACTAATCCAAGCTGTTAGTTTTTTTCTTTCAGTAACATATCATACTTTCATTCTACATATAAACGTACACCCACCACCTGACTACACATCACGACCTCACTTCCTTTTGATTGCTCTGATGGGAAGGAACACACGCACCTGCGCATGGCCTGAGGTGAAGCAGCTGATATCGCACACAGAAACACGCAGCATGATCAAAGCAACCACACGGCTACGTGCTGTTCTTCTTTGGCACTTGTCAGATTTATGGCATGGATTTTTTTGATTGATGGCAACCCGGCACAAACATCCTTGGGGAAGCTGATGTGAGATGGCACGACTATTGTTTAATGATCCAAGAGGAAAGTTAAGAGGGTTACATTGGTTACTGTAGCCTGGGTAATATATCTGGTTTTAAGTATGTTTCAAGATTTAATATCAAGCTAATTAGGTCTTGGTGACAGATTTATGACAAGTATTGTTACAGTTTGTCAATGATAAAATACGTTCTATCCCAGCCTAAAGCAGAAAAAGTAAAAACACTCCAAAAGAATAAGCACTGTAGTAGTGTAGTGCTTATAGCTTAAAAAAATGCAGCTTTTTAAAAATACTACTAAATAAATAGTTATTTATAAAAAGAATAGATAAATAATAATAATAATTTGTATTATAATATAATACAAATATTATATTATAATATATAATATTATAATATGTGCAAATATAACGAATTTCAAAGCACTGATATAAAAAAAACAAAAAAAACAAAATACTTACTGCCTTAATATGCAGTAATATGCATTAAAAATATGCAGCTCAATATGCAGAAAAATTAAAAACACCCAAAAAGACAAAAAAAAAGTATTTTTGTCTCTTTTTTTTGGCAGCATTAAAAAAATATTTACTACTAAAAACTACAGTTATTTATAAAATAAATAATAATATGTATTGTTTTTATTATAAATAAAATTTACATTTTTTTTACTAATAATAACAAAAAATTGAGTTCTTTATAAAAATAATAATAAAAATTGTTATTATATTTATAGTTATTACTATTATTGAAAATCTGTGTGACTATATTTACAGTGTAAAGTAAATGCTGCTTGTTGCATAAAACCCTTAAAAAATCTTATTATAATACCTTCAAATATAACAAAGGATTTAAAAGCACCAACATACATTTAGTTTGTTTCTCTTGTCTAAAAAAGAAAAGAAGAATCGGAAGCAGACACACACACACACAAAACTCTTCCTAGCAGTCTCTTTCTTTTAATTTCCAAAGAAACTGCATACGGCTTTGTTTCGCTAAAAAAAGTTGAGTCCCTCGAGACTGTCTCTCAGCAAAGCAAGACTGCATATAATGAACTGGATGTGCTGGCAGAGACAGAGGCGGGTACAGAGCTCCACATCAGAGAGGACGGCTCCTGCAGAATACCTGCACTATGCCTCAGCGCCTCCTGCCTCCTCCAGAGACGACATCCTCTCTAACAACCAGCCACCTAAAACAGATTCCTGAAAATACCAAGCTTTCACTCTTCGCCATATAATAATGCTGCCAGCTGCAAAACAATAACAATTCTCCGGCCAAAATAAATCCTGGATCATGTCCGCAAAACCAAATGTTTTTATACAGCGTGGCTCAACCATGAAAAGAACTTCCCACAAATTGTTGCTAATTTGGAGTTGGCAGTCACGAACGGCAATGTTTGAAGCTAGAATACTGTAGCTACTACAAATATGGGGCTAATACAGATTTTTTTTTTCCAGTAATGTCTATTTTTGACACAATTGAAGCGTCTTTCCATTCCGATAATCCACTGTTAATATTCACAGCTCGGCTAAATGGAGTTACGCAGGACTGTAAAACTCATCCAACACCCTGCTGCCACTAAAGCTGATTTACACTGCCCCGAGCCCTCATCTGCATATTGTTAAGCATCGTAATCATTCCCCTTGACGAGTAGGCGGAGACGCCTGCCTCAGGACACGTGACCTCACACTCTGCAGTCGGTGCAAGGTTTTATGGGAGCACAGTGGAGCAGGACAGTGAGCTCACTGCTCACATTACAACTCCAATAAAACACCCTCACTATTTCACAAACTCACAAGTTGTGTATGCAATAAATAATGAAACACAATAAAGGAAGATATGTTCCAGTGATCTTTATTTCACCTTAACTAAGCTGCCCAAAATAAATAACTGTTAAAACGGTTAAAACTGTTTTATTCTCTTCAGAAAGGGACAAATCTCTGCCTTTGGGTCTGGCAGGAACCCGGCACTAGTGTAGTGTCAGTTTGGTGCTATTGTGGGCAAAAACAAAGAACACTGGTGGAAGAAAGCAGTGAAAGGAAGCTGTCAAGAGGGTTACAGGAGGGCACTGACATCATTGAACAGCACTTGCTTTGTGCTACCTACCTACCTACCTACCTATCTGTCTGTCTGTCTGTCTGTCTGTCTATCTATCTATCTATCTATGCACCCATGATAATGCATTCAAGTGCAATGATAATGCATACATCTCTGCCTGATTAGAGGAACACCACTGGCCCATTTTTCCTCAATCCTGTGGTAAATTGGAGAACAGAGGACTTTTAGTTTCTAACCCTGCAATGTCATACCCTTCACGTGCCCCCTATGACAGACGGCCCATAAAACCCTTGCAATAAGTTGTAAAATGGAAATGGTGCCTCCTGTCTTCAATGGGGAAATGGAGCCATGAATGTGAGATTTATTCAAAATCTTCATGGGAAAATGGAGGCCGTGAAGGCTGTGCTTGAGTAAAATCATTTTGCTACTTCTTCATATATAGAAAAATATAGCAATATAACAACAACAATAATAATACTACTAATAATATAAAAATACAGTAAAAACAGTAATATTGTGAAATATTACTACAATTTCAAAGAACTGTTTTCTATTTTAAAATGTTTTAAAATATAATTTATTCCTGTGATGACAAAGCTGAATTTTCAGCAGCCATTGCTACAGTCTTCAGTGTCAGCTTTTATTTGAAAAAGAAATATTTTGTAACATTATAATGTCTTTACTGTCACTTCGTTGCTAAACAAAGTACTAGTTTTAATAATAATAATAAAAAACGTTCTTGACTTTTGAACAGTTTTTATATATATATATATATATATATATATATATATAATTATATCTTCCCACCATATATATCACTTCTCCCCCGTGCGGCCTTGCTTGGAGTCTTTTAGTCCGTTTCTCCTCATAACGGTGATTAGAGTTTATCCCCAAATGCCTGAACAAACTGGATTTCAGTATGCCCATGTTCAGGTGAGATGGGAATAAACAACAAGCACCCACCACACACATGAGCATAATGACAAACAATGCAGCTATTTGCTGACAAGCGGAGCAAAACAGTATTTTACCATGCTAGGGCAAACAAAGCCACCACAAGCGGTACACATGTGAATAAACCATGACCGGTTTCCATATAAGCATCAGCAGTACAATCTCAAAGTGCCCGCTGGACTGAAATATGCTGCTTTTAGATTAGAGATCAGTACCTCTGTTTTATTGTCTTAACTTTATGCTGCACATGCTGTTGAACTGTAATTTGATATGTGGGTAGATCATATCGTTTGGCGTCTCTGACCAAATGGACTGCATTTTAATTAACTTTTTAAATAAAAAATTATATCGATTTTTGTCTCTACTGTCCATGCTGGGTTCAAACTGAGTCCTGAAATGATTTAAGAGAGATAGAAATCCCAGATTATGAGGACGACGGATGAGATAATGAGCAAATGACATGACCACCCCTTCATTGAAAGAACGCAATCTGCACCGGACATCTAACTGTGCACCAAACTGAATAGTTCAAAGGTTTAGATAGGTTTAGCACTTTATGCTTTTTTCGAAGAACTTCAGAATGTTCTTTCAAAGGAAAAGTGAGAAATTAATCAAAAAATGCACGCTTACCCGTAACAGAGCTGTCTAGGTTGTCCATGCTGGAGCCTGGCGTGTGTTCGATGCCCCTAATTGGTGGCGACATCTCATATCCTTCGTCCTCCTCCTCATCGTCGTCTTCGTCAGGGAGGTCTGTTTCAATATCGGACACTAGGGTGCTGGAGATGTAACCCACAGGCGGCGTGGGGGCCTGGGGCGCGTAAGGCCCACCCTGCATGTGCCTACAGAGAATTCAAGAAGTCAGACATGAACATTCCACACTTTTTTTGCATAACCAGGCAAGAGCTTCAAGGGTTGTCAGCGGGAGACAAAGGGTGTCAATGAGCGACAAGCCTAGACAAAAGAGAAATGCGTGGCGTGTGCTGTCTGTCAGGCGAAATTTGGTATTCCTAGAACATTCCTTGTCATCTCTCTGATGAATTGGAACAATTCGGCTAATTCAGCAGCACCACGGTCTGCATGCTAACACAATGACCTACTAATTGCAGCTTGAAGAGGATACAATGGCAACCACCACAGGCATGTCTTTGCTGTGGCTGTCACCCACTAGACAGCTAGATTCTATGACAGCCCTACTGTGTGTCTATATATATGTGTATCGGTCTGTGTTTGTGCAGTGCTGCTGCTGCTTTGATGCGGTCTGTGCCAGGATTTTGATATAATTATGGGCTCTTCCCAGTAGTCACAAACATTCTATGAGCAGCATACTCATTATGGTGGTAACATGACATCTTCCTCCTGACAAGTGGAGGCCGTTCCCTCACAGTGCCGACTGTAATAAGTGGAAGTCGGCTTATCTTGGAAAGACATGTTGAAGCATGGGTTTAGCATGGGGGCTTTATAAGAATGCATTACACAGTCTATCAATCTATCAAACTATCAGTTTTTTTTACATATTTAATTCAGCTACATTCACTTTTTTCATTTAAATTATGCTTTTATTGAAAATGACTAACAAATGCGGTACAATAAAAACAGATTTTTAAAAATTCAATTAAATTCAGTTTGTGCTGGTAAAAAGAAAGCCAGTTAATTCAATTCAATTCAAATTTATTTGTATAGCGCTTTTCACAATACACACTCAAGTAAAAGAAAAAAACAACTCTTTGAATCTTCAATGTTAAATAGTCATTTTTATATTTCACAATTGCATTTAGTGCCTCTAGTGCCCAAACCTTTTACTACAAAGGGCCAAAAAGCAATCTTGGAATGTGATTGTTGCATTATACCCCTAGTATATTAAACTAAATTTTTTAAATCAAATTCACCTATATTATCTACATTTTAGTGTAATGAGTTCTTACCAAGTCTGTTTAGCCATGTCCAACTGGTAAGCGCGGGTTAGCTCATCTAGGTGGGCTTGGAGCATGGGCTGTATTTCTTCACGTGGGGATGGGCTCAGTGTGGCTGTGGACTGTTTGCCAAAGGAAACCGCTGCAGGGGAGGAGGCCACGCCCCTTATGGGAGGAGTGGGCACCCGTTCTTCCTCTTCCTCCAGCTCATCCTCTAAACCCTGATGGAGGTATGTCTGCACTGGCAAGGGTGGGCCCCAACCATCACTATCATATCTGGAACAAATGAGCATTGTAACAAAATGAAAATGGACCACAGACAGGTCCCTGTGGCACACCACCAATAGTTGTGTGTTAGGTATGAGAAAAAGGAATCTTATTTTTTTTTTTTTAGAAATGTTATATTATATAATAGATGCTTTTTTGAACATTTTAGCAATTAAAAAATATTTAAAAAGGATTTTTTACACGGCACCCCTGCTCTCGACAGACGGCACCCCGGTTGGGAAACACTGGTCTAGCTAACAGTTATGGATATAGTGAGACCCAGGTTTAGCAACATAGTGGTAATGGTGTAAATCTTGGGTTAAATGCAAAAAATCTTGAGGGATTTTGCAGCTTTACTGGTTCTTTAATACAGGCTGATCTGGCAGAACGGCTGCATTTTTTATTTTATTTCCCAGAACTGTACTTATACATGCTGAAATAATACATTTCATAAAGCCAGCGTTCATTAGAGGAATTTGTCAGTGCACATCCCGTAGGACATAACAGTTTTAATCTGAAGCCATTAAAGACAGTGGCGAGATTTACAGCGTAGAAGACTACTCATTTGCCAGAGAGCCTATTAAGCCCAATGACACTCCGAGATGGAAATTAACAGGGTTGAAAGGCAAGCACACCTCTCCAGCAGGATATTTAATTTGTATCACCACCCTCATGTTTTCTTTTAACTCTACAGATGGGGCGACGCTGATGTCAGACAAGAGTGGAGTGCCATCGAAGGCGAAAGCACATTAAAAGTTGCTGAGCGTGAACAGCTTGTCATAGAGGGTTTTAATATTACATATTGTCTATTTATAATGGACAACAAATAAATCATTTAGTGCTAGTGGTCTGATTAACTCTCTAAGGAACAAATAAATACCATTAGCAGATATAGTGATAATATTTTAGCTAGCAAGAACAAGACTTTGAACAATTTCTTACGAACATCACGGACGGTTTTAATTTAAACCTCCATTTTTATCACTTGATGGGAAAAATCCAATGCTTAATTACATGGATCATAATCTCTAGATATTATAGATATGACCACTGAATTTGCAGTGTAGATTGTCACTACTACTTGCACTGAGTAGAGTTGAATGAGCGACTCTGAACCCTACCCTCCTCCGTCATGGTGCTCTGAGGCATAGTAGTCCATCTCTGTGCCTGGAAGAGGGTGGACAGGAGGGGGAGGGAGTGGAACATTAGCCCAGTTGGAGCCATTCATCTTGGTGGGCTTGGCGTTTGCTTTGGTCTTCTTCTTCTTTCCACCTTTCCCACCTACAATAGCAAAAGTTGGGGATACTTGTTAGAGCTTGAATGCAGAATGATGTCACATGATTAGACAATTTCCACGTTTTCACCTTAAAAATACAATCGATTTATTCCCCACATGACATGTGCTTGACATTCTCTATGCTAAGTGAAGGCTCTTGCAATGCCACTGTCAAATGCAAATGCTTGCAAGTTAGAATGCACAACTCCTCTGTACACAACTGCTTTCAAAATGTTCCCAAGCCAAAATGGCCATAAAAGCAATCTCAAGGCTGCGTGGTGAAAGAAACAGTTTGCAGCATGGCAATGGCTCAAAGACTGAAGACTCAAAAAAAATTACTGAAAAAACCTTTGACCTCCTTTTAACTATGATTGCTATTCATGCAACTTGCTGGAATATTTGTTTACAACTCTATTCTAAAAATATGCACTTCATTTTCTTTACTCTAAGAAAAAGTATTAGGAAAGTAACAGAATGTGTCAAAGATGGAAAGAAAAAAGCCTTTTGAACTTGAATATTATGCATCCACAATCTCCCTGGACAAAAGATGTGGCAAATTATGCACTTGCCCAAGAACTAGTACGAAGGATAGTAATTAATCACCCTTCTGTCACAATCTAATTAACAAAACCATCTAAATGTAATGGCCATCAATGCCAGATTAAGACATTTGGGACGAGGAAGTGATGTGTGTCCTCCACAGACTGCATGCAGAGGTGGCAGGATTCATTACTGTAAATTATTAATGCCGCCGCTGGCAAACTCGACATGACCAGTGCGTTGCCGCATGTTGCCAGCTCCTCCCGCGTTTCAAGCCAGGCATAAAATAGCTGAGGCTGATGGAGTCAGACACATGGCCAAATGCAAACAGGGGGGAAAACCTTCACTGGCAGCACTTGTGCTGTATGGGATCCTATCTGTCATCATCTGACTCTGTCTGCCAATGGCCTCTAATCGTCCCTGCCGCCTCAAAATGTTCCGATTCAGGCAACCCTGTGGCTTCAAACCTCATGTTATTTAATATGATGCCAGGACTCTGACAGGGCTATACATTAAATCCAAAAAACTCTTTATAAAAGCCATGTTGAATCATATTCAAGGGCTATGAATAGACTATCTTCCCTGGATCTTAAAGGAACATTCCACCCAAAAATGAAAATGATGTTCCAAAACCATATGAATTTCTTTCTTCCGTGAAAACCAAATAAAGAAATTTGAAGAACTGTGCTGGTCAATGAGTTGAATTAAAGACTAGTAATTTTAGATTTTATAGTATTTTACGATTAGTTTGTGTTAAAAACAGTTCCAAATTGAAGTAATTTGCTGGCAAAAATAACTAGTTCTTCTTTGTGCATCAGGGAAAGTTCATGAGACGCATTATTTTGAATCTTTTCAAACAACTGGTGTTTTCAGTTCACAAGACCCAGTTCAGGCCAGCATATGTGAACTGGTTCGATAAACTGATTAATGGTTGATCAAGTTCACAAAACCGTGTCTAAATGAATTGGTCACAAAACAGACTGATTTGGCTCTTGAGTTCAATTTATTGGACAATGGCTCAATCAGTGTTGTTATTGTTACCTAAAATTATAAGTATAAATAAAAAAATAAAAAATAAAAAATGACAAAAGAACATGAAAACACTAAAACAAACTAAAATTAAAATGAAAACTGAAAAAAAATAAAAAATAAAATGTAATTCAAACTATTAATACATACTATGATAGTATATAAATAATACTAAAACAAGAAATTGATTGTTGAATAAATGCGTGTTCCACATAAAAAGTTATCGTATGGCTTCAGAAGACTTGAAATATAGTCATATGGACCACTTTATGATGTTTTTTTGTCCTTTGCTTAAAAAACCTCAGTTTAAATTCACCGTACAATACCTAGAGAGCAACCAGTAATAAAAAATAAAAAGAGAGAGAGTGAGAGTGAGTGTTTTCAAAATATTCATTTTTGGTTGCACTGTTCCTTTAAGAAAAGCAAAAACAAGTGTGAAAGAACGAGCACAAGAGAATGAGTACTGTAGCTATGCACAGTTTAAGGCAGATTTGTCATACGATGGCTGACGTTTATGATACTCTCGGCAGCCGGCCTATTAGAGAGCGTTCTCATCACCGGAACTTCTCGCTGACGGTGCGCTATTGTTCCGAAGCCGAGGGAGATCGGGAGGCATTAGGAGTCTTGCAGAGGGATGGAAGTGTCAAACGAAGATGAATAAAGTATAGTAGTAATAAAAAAATAACAACAGGCTAGAGGCAGAAGTGGCTGGAGTGGGGAGAAGTAATTGGGTTTCCTAATCGTTCCTCTGGGTGACGCGTGGCGTCAGCCAATAAATGGAGAGATGGCGTGATCACTCAATCACTCCCTCACTTCCTCTCTCTTTCTCCCTCTGTTTGTCGAGTAGAGGGCATAAATAATGTAAACGAGTCTCTGCTGAGGAGTCGGGCAGCTCCTGAAATTACCAACGTAAGAAATGTGAGGAAAACAGAGAGGAACGGCGCCGTGGGACAGCAGAGACTCGACTGACAAACATGAGGTCGTTTTCTGAATTAGGCCAAAGCAGGCTGGCGAAGAGGCAAAGGAACTTGGCTGTGTTTCATAACTTATAAAGTTTCACACCGTTAACACATCAATGAGAACTTGCTCAACTCTGACCTGTTCTATCTTGTACAATGAATTATGATCTAATTGCATGTTACGGTGGGGAAAAGAAGTAATAACAGTATTTGAAAATAATTAGCTTTTAATGGGGCAGTACAAATACTTTACAGGCTTTTATAATACAGGGAATGCATGTGTTTCTGATAAGGAAAAGACCGTTTTTTCGTTTTTCAAAGCAAGGCTGTGAATTTTGGCTCAAAACACGTGCAAAACAGCAAACAAATGGGTGAAATACGTTTTAATGTTTTCACTCTCTTTAAACACCTTTAAATTAAAGTGACATGATCTCGGATATAAAGTGAAATGCTGATTTGTCAAAAAATAATATCAAGCACTGAACAGATTCATAGTTTTTGTGTGGAAAAGATTCACTGCATGGGATCAATACTGAAAGTACAATTATTTCAGAATTATTTGGAACAGTAGGCCAAAGTGACTCATAGCAAACAAAAAGTATATACAGTATGTTTGCTTAGAAACAATCAAATTATAATACATATTTTTTGTCTTCAACAATGCATACTTCAAATGTAATCTCTGTCATTTATTTACAATACAGTAAGTGAATTTATTTCTTTGCAAAACTATCTTGAGATGGAAAAAAAGAATAAAGTAAAAAAAGAAATACAACTGTTTTTAACAATGATAATAAGACATGTTTCTTCTATATATATTAAATTTAATTCTCTCTCTCTACATATATAATTAAATTAAATTGTAATATTTTACATAATTACTTGTTTTAATGTATTTTGACATTTAAATGGTAGTGTATATTTCCAAAATTTGTATCATTTGAATGCTGAATAAAAAAACATGACAGCAGTTTTCATGTTAATGAGTTTGCTACATATAGAGCACACATGCGATATCTCATATCATTACAGCCCTTAAAATGCTGTACAAAGGTTAAACCAGATCAGATTGATTTGATTTGGTCAACTGATCTCTATCTTCTAAACAATCCCTGCCTGAAGAGGTTGAGATGTTTGACCTAAATCTACCCTTGGAGTCCTAATTGTAGCCCATGAAACACTTGAGCCAGATGCTTGGAGAGCTTCCCATCTAATGTCTGAGGCTGCGTTGGATTACTGCACAGTTAAAGCACGGGCATGAAACTTGATTAGAGAGGAGAAAGAGCCACATGGACAGCGAGACGAGAGGATGGGGGCCGTCTCTGCATCCTATAAATGACATTGTAATTTTCAGTACATGAATTCTATTGTAGCTTGTAACCATTAAAGGGAGGAATCGGCTCAAATCAAGCTGCTCGAGTGCATGTGTGCATGTCCCGAGTGTTTTCTTTTAAGTTGCAACAGTAACCAATGACAAAACAAACCTATGCTTAAATCAAAAACTCACTGGCATTGTTAACACAAGGATAATGTCAATGTCAAAAAGATGCTTTGCTGGAATTACAGCATGTGCAACAGGTCAAATGGAGCCAGAAGATAAAGGTTGAGTGGATCGTGTCATGCTCCATTTCCCCTTCACATGTGAAAAGTGTTGTGAGGAACCAAAATGTGAAAGGAGCAGACCAGAACCTCTTGATTTTAAACTTTGCCTTTTAACCCTCTGGTGCTGTTCGGTCATTTTTGATTGGAAAAATGTACTTTAGTTTTTTTTCCTTAATCGGAATGGTACGAATTTTGGTAAAGGTTTTGGCATTGCTATGTCACAAAAAACAAAAAAATCATGGGCATGATTTAATGGTCCTGAAAAAAATCACACTTGTACTGTTCACGGTCAAAAATGCCAGCACTGGAAATGAATGGAAAGCAAATTTCATCTAGTGGAATCATTTGGTACTGCGGTCAATCAAAATGAAACCTTTTTTTTTTTTTTAGATATCAACCTCAAATTTGGAACACAACTTGTGTAAATTTATGGCTTTGATTTACACACAGTTTTAGAGTAAAACATGTTTTGGAAAACATATTTCATATAAAATGTAAAAATAGTTTGTTAATTTTTCATAAAATTTTTCGTTTTACTTTTTCACTTCAGCAATAATCTGCCAACTGTCTTCTTTAAAGAGTTTAAACTTAAAAAAGCATTTAAGATTAACAACAGTTTAAGTTGGAAATTTTATTTTGAGTTCTGTTTAAAAAGTGGTTAACAGGAAGTACATGTATCATAACTATTCCATAAATATAATTTAGTACCATAAAAATTGCCATGCGAGCAGCATCAGAGAGTTAAAGAATGAATTTATGGAATCAAAACATCATTATGGAAAGCTCAATGCTCTGAATCGCCTAATATCTATCTTACTACTAAACCAGCTGGTTTATATAAATTGGCTTTTTTTTTTTTTTTAATAAAAACAGGACTTTCCTATCCAGGCCATCACACGATGGCTGCAGATCCAGTTGAGACGACAGCTATGAGGAACACAGTTATTAAACAAACCCATACTATTGACAATATAGAGCAGGAGTTATGGCGTGTGCACCACGGTTAGTGGAGGTGAAAGGGGAGAGGGGTAGACTGAAGGAAAGATGCGGGTGGGCTGCTGACCCCTGGACCGGTGAAATACCAACCTGACAGACTGTTGCTCCGATCTGTGCTGTTGTGGGAGCTGGTGGTGCTGAAATCCTGTGATTGGTTGTGTGGCATTCTATTAGACAATCCGTCAGCCAATCGGTAGTCAGGAATGAAAAGGAGTGCTAGTGGAGGCGAAGGGCAAAAAAGTGGCATCAGGTGGAGGGCAAGATGGCACAAGCGCATGCAAGGGAGTGCAGTTAGAGCAACAAGCAAAGCATTGATCTCACACACAACTCCTATTTAAAATTACTATTCTTTCTAATCTAACAATGACTTTTAATACTTTTCGATTTGTTCTCAAACCAAGCGAGTGAAGGCATTATTAGCATAGGTTGTTCAATAATGTATATTGGAGAGTTTATATACAATTCTATAAAATTAATGTAATATAATATAAAGTAATATAAAGTAATATAATATCATATAATATATACAAGTTGCTGCCTTGATAAAGTGTTCTAAATTATTCACTTACGATGATTTCTTTCTTTCTGCATTCATTTATTTCTGTATTTATTTCTTTATTTTGGTTAGGCTGCTGCATATTTAGGTAGCAGACAACATGGCAGCTCACTAGGCTCTGGAACAGAGCCCTAATTGCTTTAAAATCTCTCAATTTGTCTAGTTTCTTTGGAAAGTGTCTCATTCAGAGGTTAACAACATACATTAGTGCTAATTTTCCTGGAATTAATTCTATTTGTTGGCAAGTTAACCAGTTCATGGAAACATTCATACTTGTGATTTACAGTAATTTCATAGTTAGAGGTTTATTCAAGTCCAAATGAAAGCGGAAATGGTTTTTAATTGCGTTAAGGAACATCTCAATTTATCATTCTGTTCAACTGTGGAGAATAAGTTCATTAATATGGATAGTAGTACTTGTTTTGCTTAAAAAAAGCAGAGTGCATTTGTCTAAAAGCTTTTCAAAATAGAATAAACCTTGGCTAATGATGTTACATTCTTTTAGCCCAAAGAAAATTTAAATAATAAATGCGGTTGGTCGGAAACACATTCAAGGGTCATGGATTTTGTTATGGGCCAATGATACACATTCTTATTGTTCCTGAATGTCAGAAAAATGCAACATTACTACAATGATGATCAAATTAACACTGATACAACCTCAGCCAATATCCAGAAATAGAGCAACTGGCTTTGTTTCAAAAGATTTTGGATGCGACCCTAACACACAAACAAGCTCTCTCACACACACACACACACACACACACGTGGCCCTTCAGCCCGACTCACTGTTGTTGCAGGAGTTCTTGTCTGGCAGTGAGTAGCCCAGGTTGGCCATTTCCTGCTTGGCCTGTAGGGAGGTCTTCCACTGGGCCTCGGGCAGATCGACGGCCAGCTCATGAATGCTGTTGGAATGGAGGATCTGGGTGGTGGCGTAGGGCGTGGCCTGGGAGGCGGAGCTTGGACTGCCGAATCCACCTTTGGTGGTGAAGTCAATGCTGCTGTAAATGGCTCCGTCTGAAAGCATGGTGCCCGTCTTATCGGCCTGGGCACTGGGCATCACGTCTGTGTGGAACAAGATGGAAGGAAGGGAAGACAACAAGATTCTGAGGTTAATATGGTGTTAGAGAAGAAGTTTGGGGGGGAAGTGCAGAAGTGATGTCAGTTTTGCCTGAAATCGAAACAAAATATTGCAATGCAATTTTTTTTTTCTACAAACTCCTCATCATGTCTGAAGTATTTGATTTTATTTCGAAATTTATTTATTTTCAAACAATCATATTCTAGGTAAATGTTTGAATACTCAAAAAATGTCAAAAACACATTCACACACATAAATAATACTCAAATAATTATGGAATACTGACATTTTGGTATCTGAGGCAGTGTGAAATAACAACAACAAAAACAACAATTATTATAGAAATTATACAATTATATGACTACATGAATAATACTAAATTCATTATTTAAAATAATAATTATTAAATAGTTATTTACATTTTTAATAATTATTATTTAGAATAATAATTGTGGCTTTTATTTCATACCACCTCATATACCAAAATGTCATAATTCCATAATTATCTGAGCATTAAGTATAATAATAATAATAATAATAATAACAAACAAATTACAAAAATCAATATACTTAATAATAATAATAATAATTATTAGTCTTAAATAATGCTCATATAATTATAGAATTATGAAATTTTGGTATATGAGTCGGTGTGAAA